AAAGAAGATTATCATTCGCGGCGAGTACCGAGCGGAGTTTCCTAACCTCTTTGTGGAATTAATCGTCCCTCGGTATTCCTGGCCAGTTCTCGTTGAATTTAAATTTTTACTGTACATCATTCTTGTACTCTTTTTGCTCGAGCACTAAATATTTTTAATGCGTTGTTGAAATATTTTTTCTTTTTTTCGCGAATAAAACGAACGTATTTCGAACGTAAGGTCTGGGTTAGAAATTGGAAACGGTTTTTTTACGATTAACGAAGCACGGCGACGTTTTTTTCTCCTCCTTCCGAAGAGTGCGTGCGAAATATTGAAACGTTTCCTTTGTTATCCAAGGCTGGTGGGCTCGTGTCGTCGCGCGATGACCGTCTGTCGTTCGCGCATACTTTTTTTTCCCCCATTTCGTACCGCGATAGTGCTCTTGGTTCGCTCGACGACGACGACGACGACGACGACGACGACGTAATTGCGTTATTATTTACCGCGCGTAATAGCAACCATCGCGCAACGGGCACACGCAGAAAGAGAAAACATGTCCGCGCGCGGGAAAACACGGCAATAAAGCGTTATTACGCGAAACCGTGTGGCGGTCGGTTCATCGGTGAGGGATTAATACGAGATTAGGAATTGGAACGCGTTCTCGATCGTATTGCCAGCGTTCTATACGCGATTCCTATACCGAGATAATTGCATTCTCGTCGTTACGTTTCATTTCCCATGCATTTTATTCCGTTTACGTAAATACAAATAAAATTTAGTGTCTTGGTTTCTTTTAACCGCGATATTTTATCGTTGAGAATCTACCAAGGCACTTTGTACTTAACGTGTACTTATTATAGTATTTTTATGCTCGAAAAAATAAAAGATTTCTTATTTTAGCAAAGTTAGCAAAGGGTTGGATTAAGATCGAAATTCAATAAATTTAGTGACTTGGTTTCTTATATGGTATTTTTATGCTCGAAAAAATGAAAGATTTTTTATTTTAACAAAGTTAGCAAAGGGTTGGATCAAGGTCGAAATTCAATGTTTCTACTTTGAACGATAAAAAGAATCACTGATAAGAGAAACGGAAAGTCTAAACGTAATTAATATTAGTTCGATTACGGCGACTACGAGCTCTTCTCGACACCGATATTCCATCTACATCTCCTCGTAGTTCGTGGTTATTGGCTATTGACTGTACCGGGCAGCAGCGGGAGTAATAATAAGATTAGAAAAATAATTACCGAGCATCCGATTGCGTCGTGAGGCGTAATTGTCTGGCGGGAGAATCGTTTCTCCACCGAAAGCTGTAATTACCCATGAAGAATAACGATAACTGCACGGTTAATCGTCCAAGGAGCGCCGTTGCGATTTGTTTGTCCGAGAAATGGCGTCCTTGGGTCGCCCACCGGGCCAAGTTGAGCGTTCGCCGGTGATCTTGGCCCGACGTTTCGATCGCCCTCCGTGCAAAAAGGTTTCTCGTGGAAAAACCGTGCAAATCTTTGTTCTCAAATTCTCTGCCGATACGGGACGCGCGAGAGAGCGTTCTCGCGTCGATCCTTGTCGCATAATTAGCCGATGGAAGCGGCGCGGCGCGGCCAGCGTACGTCCAACCGCGGAGTGCTCGAGCGAGAGAAAAACACCGGAGTTGAATTTAGAACGGATTCCAGAGATCGGGCACGATCATCGACGGCTTTACCTTGTACCGGTTTTGCGGTCGATCTTTATTTCGTTACGTAAACCGAAATTATCCGACGCGCGGGGAGCGTATCGATATCGTCGGTCGGTAATGGGACGATGCAAATAAATTCCCTATTGATCGATCCACGGTGACGATCGCGGTTTCGACGTAGGGACGAAATAGTTTGCTCGTTACTGACGCGTTACATAATTGCCTGTATAATCGGTTTGCTCGACGAGTGTGCAGAGGCGTGAGTCTCTGGGAATCGCGTGTCGGATGCAAATCCGTCGAACCGTCCAGGAGCGAGAGAGCGCTGTTTGTTGAATCCGACGGGTTTCCTGTTAATCGGACGCCCTCGAAAGGCTTATCGGGGTCGGGAAATATGTCGACGGTTCCTGGAATTCGAAATTGATGCTTGATGAGAGGAAGGGGAGGCGTCGCGGTATCCGGAGAGGGTTGGCACGGCTAGATTAATACGGAGAATAGGTAGCTATATCGACGCAGACGGGAAGACCTCCGTGAATTTCGAGGAAATGTTTATGCCCGTGATAACCTCTCGTGCAAAGGGGAACCAACGTGGTTAACGTCCGTCTCGATGGAACACTAGTTTTCCGCCTGCATTCGTGCGTGGTCAGTGTTCGAAAACTATAACTACGAAATCTCGTGGTAGAATTATCGTATCCCTTCCCAAACGAATCGAACAGAAGTGTTCCCAGCGAATGATCTTTGTTTATGGTAACGTAATAAGAACGGGTCGGATACACGTAAGTAGGTACGCCTCTCTTACGGTGTTTGATGTTTGAAAATTCCAGAAGCCACCGTCGGCTGATAAAACACCGCGGGATTGTTTATTGTAATCTGGCTGCCACATGTTTTCGTATCAAGCCAGAGATAAGCTGGTTTTGAATGTCCATCTCGTGTTCGACGAGTCCCGCGGCTGGTCGACTCCGGTCGTTTCCGACGTGACGCAAAAGAGAACAGGTTTTCCGCCGGCATTCCAATTATCGTTGTTTTCCCCCTGTCGCGCGAAACTCGCGTAAAAAAATACTCCTCTTAAATAATTAATTGTCTCGCGTGCGTAAACGACGATAGTGGATAATCGTAACGACCCGTGGCGGACCGTATAGAAAATATAGTAATAATTAGACTGCGGATCTTTATGCAAATTTACATTTTTATTAATAGAATTAATGAAACGGAAGCTTCGCAGAGGGCTGTCTCAACCCCTAAATATAATAATTCGTATCTTTAAGTATTTCTTATATTTTTGCATATTAAATGCATTCTGTAGTTTTTTTAGGATTAACATTTCCCATAAATGCATAAATATCCGCAGCCTAGTAATAATTATTAACGAACTTAAAAACCCCGGAGTTATCGTATGGTTCTGCACGGAAGAATATTTCTCGCGAGAAAAGAAATACGAACGTAATCGAGGTGGCGCTGTATGAATCTTAACGATGCGACGCAACGAAGAAAACCACATATCCTGGAAATGTCCAACGCGTGATAATCAACAAAGCGGCGGCGTCGAGCGTCATTCGCGCGAATTTTGCGATAACGAGTTCGTTCGCGAATACAGTACGTGACAAAATTCAAGCCTACTTAACATTTTTCTTTACAATTAAATACGTACAATAGATAGAAAATTCAAAAAATATACAGGGTGTCACACCACACCTGGGGACAAATTTTAATGGAAGATTCTACAGGGTGTCCCGTAAATAGTGTAAGAACCGGAAATGGGGGGTAGCCGAGACGATTCTGAACAACAATTTCCTTTGCAAAAATGTCGGATGGGGCTTCGTTTTTGAATTATTAACGAAAAACACTGACCAATCACGGCGTAGATCACTTAGAGATTTTCGAGGGGTGGTCGAACACCTTGTATATACATATGTGTAGGATTTAACGAAGAGGATTTATTTGAGGAACAAATGTACAAATGATATAATTCTATAAACGAGTTTGAAACACACCAAGCACACTATCTTTTTACACAAATTAAAATCACATTAATTGACAACACAAATTAAAATCACGTTCGTCTTTCACAATCACACGTTTCTCACACCCTGTTGTCTCGCTGTCCCTAGTAACCCCTTCTTTCTTCAACAAAACAATTTCAACCCTTTTGCACATAAATTAACATTGAACAAATATTCAATACAAGTCTCCTACATATGTATATTTAAAAGCAAATAAAAATGATGGGCTATTGTTCTGTTCCGTGCTATATCTTATCTCGGCGAGAATAACGCGCAGTTGTGATCGACAAATCAATTAATTCGAGTTTTTCGACAAAATTGTTGATTTTCGAGTTTTCGCGACGGCGGGATTGTTCTTGGCTGGTTTCCAAGGCGACGACGAATCGTGGGGAAGCCGGCGTCGACGACAAACGATGCTCCACAGGTGTTTAAACTTAGAACTCGAGCTAATTAAGATCCTCCAGACGGACGCGCAATTGGGAATTTCACAGATGCCGGGGAAAAACCACTGCTCGCGAATAAACTCGATAGACCATATTCCCGTTGTTCGGAATACGCACGGTTACTTTCCATCGATCCTTCTGTTCGCGAAAGTTGTAACGCGAGCGTACAACGAATCGTAAAATTGAACGTAATTTATTTGCCCGTTAATTAAATTTGGATCAGACTCTGGGATGCGTGCTCTCCCTTGAACAACTGTTACGCAAATAATTCGTTGGGTTGTCAGGGAGACAGCGTCGGATACTTTGCGTTTTCGCGCCTAGTAAAGATCTCGACGCATTAGTATAAATCTTTGGGGGCGACCGTCGCAGATAAATCGGCCGGTATTAAAGCCAGGGAACTTGGAACCATTACGCGATTCCGAAAGAATGTTGCTCTTGCCCGGCCGGGAACAATGGAGAAAGTCGTAAAGGCACCCCTTTCTTATCTGCTTGGCCATAAAGTTCCGGGAGACACTTGCGTTAAATATCCAAACTTGTCTCGAAATGTTTCCACGGAACATAAAACCCGCCGAGCGAGACTGACATTTCGGGGGGGGAATAGTTTTTCACCAGACTCGAGATTCGAACTTGAAGCTTGCAAACAACTGCTTTACCAACCGTGCTGTTCGATCGAACGCAAGATATATATTTTCTATGTAGATTAATTGAATTTCTAAATTGTAATTTATTTGAAGGTACGCGCGAAAAATTTGCAAAAAGGTCAGTTCGCGATCCGAGAAATTGAACGGGGGCGCGGAAATCCCTCCCATCTTTTTCTTCCCTGGCTCTCTCTCTTTCTCGCCATCTCTCTCTGTCAAGCGCACATACTCGAAATTCGAAGGTTATTTTTAGATTAGGTTTCCTCGTCGCGTATGGCCACGAAGAGCAGAGCGGCATCGAGAGGCCTCAGTGTAAGAGAGGCGTCGGTGGAGGACGCAGTGGTGACGAACTCTTCGAAAAGTGAGAAGAAGAAGAGCGGCGTGTGCGAGGGAGGAGAATCGAGAGAGCGGAGAGAAAGAGAGATAGATAGGGGAGGGGAGCGCACACCGACGTCCCGAACGATCTCTCACGAACGAACGATCGACTGAAATTACTTTTTCTTACTTTAATCCCCCAAGTGTCCTTTCGTAACCACCATCCCTCCCCCCTACGAAGACGAGTTCGCTCGTTGTTTCCCATCGATCCTTCATCCCCCGCCTTACCCCAAGTTATTTTCCTTTGTTTACTTTCTTTCGACGACGAAACGAATACAGAACGAATAACCGATACCTCGAGCTATGGCAGCCACCGCCATGGATCCAGTCGACATTGCTAATATCCTCGCGCAGGAACTGCTTTATCAGCAGGTAATCCTACATGTTCGAGATTTCGAAAAATATGTTTGACCGTTGGCTTCGTTGCTCCGGAGAATCGCGGTTAATTCTATTTCATCGTCTGCGTTCCTGCAACGTACAAAAATATTTGTACGCTCTGTCGTTGAAAAAGTTAACGCGTTCAAAGATTGTCGTTTTTTTTTAACAATTTTATTTATCGTAACGAGGAAAAGATGGAAATTCAAATACGCGAAACCGTGGCGTACGATAGTAGAGAAGGCAACCTAACCCTAATGGTTTTCACCGCGACGTAACCTAAAAAATATGGTAGACTTCTACCGAACTTATATTCTGTTTTTGTTTACGGCCACACAAATGGTCCTGTCGTTAAGCAAGAGTTGAAACAGCTGCGAGATTTATTTTGAACGAGATAGGTACTTAACCCATACCGTAATTTCTACTTTGTACCAATAAATAAATCCAGGCATTAAGTGGTTAAATGCGTTTCACCACATGGCCTGCACAGGAAGAGTACCGAGTTCTACCAAAACTTTTTTATAATTAATTACTGCACGATAAGATTAAAAATGTTTTATTGACAAATAAAAAAAAAAACAGATTTTTTGTCGGTGCAAAACTGAGTCATTATCGAGACAAGACTTTGGTCGCGAAAAGTCACATGGCGTGGGAAAGTACAATTGGTCTAAACATAGAGAATCCACTTGGAATATCAAGGAAAACACTTCTAAATTCAGTTTACTCGGGGATGACGTGTGTGGTCATTGTTGACGGATCGCCGGCTCGAGAATCACGTTCAATTACATCGAATGTCTCGCACAAAGTAGCCTTCTGTTGGGAGAAAACAGTATAAAGGACCTCGAGGGGCATCGAAAGCGATCGTCTAAAATAAACACACCACTTGGCAGGCCTTCGAAATAGCGTTTCATTCACTCAACCGTTATATAGTCGAGCGGGCGAATTAAGTCGATCCGAGTTCGAAAGGAGTCGCGTACACCCGAAAACCGTCACTTTTCTTTTCGCGTCCCGCTCGAGACGCGTCAATTTCTAACGCAAATGAAGTCGAAGAGGAAAAAAACAATACGCCAGACGTGCGCTCGCCGCCGCCACCGCCACCGCTGAACTTGAAGGAGAAAGTCTATTCGACTCGCGAACGTGCGTTATTGAGCCCTGTTAACGTACGCGGTAGCATTATTGCGACGCGGATGAGCAAGAATTGAGCAACGTTGTGCAACAAATGTTGGAACTTCCACCCGCCACGGCGAAACAAACAGATCGTAAAGGAATACGGTTGCGTATCGAACACGAACACGCGCTGCTCGAATATTTTTACGTTTCGTAAAAAATCCGCTGAAACTAAATCACCGCGAGTAAGTACCTTGAAAGAACCAGAGACTATGAAAACAACTAACCTCGAATGTTCGAGCGGCGAACGTGCGACAATAACATGCCGGACTTAACGAGTCTCTTCTTCTCTCTCTTTCGCACGAGCGTAAAATACGGTGCATCGAAGATGCACGGAGGATACACGAATCGTCCTACGTCCGATCAAGCGTTCGATTATAATTATTTTATCGTCGTCGCTTTCGTGGCGATCCTCCTCTCTCTCTCTCTTTCTCTTTCTCTTTCTCTCTCTCTACCGAGAATCTATTTTTCGCGGTGTAATGTTACGTGCACGTGCGGTCGAGGGAGGCCGGCCTGGAGGTGGCCCCCCTCCCCCTCCCCCTTCCTCCAAGGTTCGGTTCAGTGTATCACTTTAACGGTTTTGCTTTTTTCTCTTCTCCTCGAGCGGTGTTTTTTCCCTCCCGTCGTCGGCGATGGCAAACGTGCCTCCGTCGAATATCTGGCTGCGTTTCGCAACGATTTTCTGGTTACCGATATCGCCCTTTGTCTGCTCGTAAAGCGGGCCCAGGGCAGATTAAAACAGCAAACGCATTTATTTATAGAATCTCGGCGGGCGTGTGTGCGCGCGTCGACTGGAGCGTGTGCGCGCGCGTGTGTCGCGCACAGCGTGAAGAAGAGAGAGAGAGAGAAAGAGAGAGAACGCGAGTGCATCGCGAAACGGAAGACGCGCATGCATGCCAACCGCGGCACGGGGGAGGGGGAAGCGCCGTCGTCGCGCATCTGCGCGAAATATTTCTGTACGTTTCGCCGCCAGGGTGTCCCGCAGGGGTTGACGCACGCGACCGAGTCCAGGGTTCCCTTCTTATCTCCGTTTTCTTTCCACCATCGTTCGCCGCTATCCCCCGACCTTGACGCCGCTCGATCGATTTCGAAAAGCAATCTCCAAAACTGCGACGATACGTAATTGAAATACGCGTAAAAAGCTTAATAATCGCAGCTACGAAGCGTCGTAATGGAATGAAAGACACTCGTGGATAGAATGCCGTTGGACAGACTCTGACTTTCGCTTCGTGAAAGATGCGGAAATTCCAGTTGTGAGTACAGGACCCTCCGTGGTGTTGTTATGCAAAATTCAGGTAGCGAGCAACGTGTGGAGTGGTGCGGTCTGCCTTGGAGCGTGTCGTGACGCGTCCGTTACGCATTGACGTGTCGAACCTGCACAGACACGTCTGACAAAATGGTACAGAGTTCGTTCGCCAGCGATTCGTATCGCTCGACGTATACTCACACTCCGCCATGTGTCCGTGGTGAACGGCCCGTCGGTCAACGAATCTGTCGTGTAATGATCCTAGTCTCGTTCCGTAGATCTTATAGGAAAGATTTTTATTAACTAAATTCTATGTATGTATTAATGTAATATTGTACAAATGACACAATGTTACGATCACGTTTCGAAATTTTCGCAGTAAATTAAAGCGACTCGCAGGAAGATCGTGAGCACCGATAATCTCCCACCGCAAACAGACGGTGTCGCGTTTCGAGTTCCGTGGACAAACAATATTCACTTGTAACGGTTTCTTTTTTTTCCTGAAAGGGTGACTGACGTCTCGATAACCACACCTTTGTCGCTTCACAGATTTTTTGGCTCGATAGAGGCACATCTATAGGAAGTAAATAAGAACCGATAACTCACGGCGCGGTAAACACTGCGCCTCCGACGGTGTCTCTAAATTTATCGAAACTTCGATAATCGCCGTAATAACCGAATTGCCTTCCCGGGATCGCCGCGGCCATAAATTTCGAATCGTGCCAAATCGAGAGAGACCGTGCCGAACAAAGACGGCTTCCAAGTACATATTACCTGATTTATGTGCGCGCACATCAACCGAGGCTGCAATAAATTGGTGTTAAACTCGTGCCAAGGTCGAGACGACGGATTAACCCCTTCGAGCGCGAACTTTTATACGTGAGAAATTCGAGAAAAATCCCATGCCTTTCGACAAAAAATTATACGACGTTCGTGTTTCTCTTTCACAGAGTGCAGGTCGAAAATTAATTGTCAAAAATAAAATATGACGTTGATTTTATAGGCAAGCAAAAATCACACAAATTATCGGTTACTTTTGGAGGAAGGTTTCGTATCTTGACGCGCGAAATTCCCGAAACCGGTGATGCGCGGAAATGATTTGGTAACGCCTAAGTTTATCGCACCGGACATTCCTGAACTTGTTGCGTGCAGAAGGATCGACTGGGTGGGCCGTGAATTTTGTGGGTGGATGATAACTTTCGTGACCAAGTCGCCGGTTCGGTGGTATGCTAAGTAATTTTAGCGATGACACTCCGGGCAGATTCGATGCTCCGCGATTATGAACCGCGGTTCTGCGTTAAAAATAGACGGGCGATAAATTTTCGCCCAAAATTGGAGAACGGTAACCTCGAGTCGAGGAAGGTGGTTCATTTTATAAGTAGCCATTTTGTTCGACACCATCGAATTACAGTGTACTTTTTATCTTAAATCCCAAGAAAATCGTTCTAATCGAACTGAGAATCAAGATGGCGACGTGTAACGAGTCGATCGCGACGTCGGAACCGAAGGGTTAACGAAGAACGTCCGATGCTCGTAGTCTGGTAATTGTTTAGTCCACTCTGACGTGTCTTGTCATCGCGAATCGTCCTTCGTTAACGATCAGAACACTGATCGTAATTTTAGAAATGATAGCGCAACGCTGGTGTGTGTCGTTGTCTCTTCTTACGAGAACGAAGGACGCGCTTCTCCTTCCTGCGTCCTTTTGTGCTTTCTGGGAAACGTGTGCCGGCTGTAATACGTCGTACGTCCCCGTCCGCCGATTGGTCGACGCGATAATGGGGAACGCGAGGTTGTCGCTACGTGAGCTGCGATTCGAGCCGTGTCATTAATATATCATCGTAGCTGGACGTACACACGTTTTATTCGCCGATGAAATCCGTCGGGTGACTGACAATCGTTTCTACGACGCTCTTCGTGCCGTGGAACACGTACCAACGATTGTCAACGTCTACGTCGATTCGCGATGACCCACAAAAGTCTTCGATTTCATTTTATTGCCATTTTAATCATATCTAATTAAAGCAGAGTTCTTAATCCTCATAATAACACAGGGACGAATCTAACGAACTGATTTTTTGGCTGTTATTTCCAACGGAAGAAATGTTCTCGATTTTTGTCACTGATTCTTCTTAAATGTTAGGTTAGGTATCTTAAATTATATCCACGGTTAGCAAGAAACTAGTGTAGCATTTCTAATCACGCCAGTGCTATTTATGGAGGTTATGGTAATCCGAGATTGAGACGTATAAACAGAATTCGAAGATCGATGATTACTGGGAAGGGGAAGAGGGAATAATCGTTCGACGCGTCGCGATAATTGGTGGTAATTTTAACGATGATGCCGACGATAAAGATTTCGCATACCTTGAAACTTAACCCCGTATGGTCTATCTGGCTCGTCCGATAGCTTATCGGCTATTGGATCACGGAGTATTTTTATCTGTAGATCTCGACGGATTAAGGCTGCTCGCGATATCGAGGCGAAGAGGAAACGATAACGCGCGCTACGGACTGCGTATCGCGTACCTTTCCACCGACGTTCTTTCGTTGTCTTTTTTTATTTTCGCCTCATTTTTTCTCTCGATCGCCCGTTGCGCAATCGTGTTCTCCGTTTCCATGAAATAAAAACGTTTTATTGGAACAGGCTTCGTGTGTTGCTCAACGGCTAGTCGATAGCGCGACGAACTTCTCTTTATCTTTTTTCTGGGTAACGCACAAACTAACGAGATATAACGCGTAGTACCTTTCGAAGGCAGTCGCGTTCGCGCAGCTGCCAACGAAAAAGCATTTGTTTCCTAGCCGTTTCGTTATCTCCGCGCACCTGGCACAGTCATGTTTATATTATAGTAGTTGCATGGTCACTGAGCTGTACGCGACAGTACGCTGCGTTTATTCGTGGTACCGACAGAAGGAGAAAGAGTTGTTCGGAATGTTCTTTGAACTGTTGTCATGGGCTCTGCGTAGTACCAGTCGGGTTGTTCCGATAATGTCCGAGGTATACATACTTTTTTACCCCTTTCATACGCAAAGACCTAAACCAGTGGTTCTTAATCTGCGCCCGTGGAACTTGTACATAGAAGTTTTAAATATTTATTTTTAAATTATGTCGACTTTATCTTTTCAATACTATTAGAATAAGTCTTACTAGATCAGATCTTAAGAACCACTGCGCTACAACAGCAACAATATCTTTTCAGTGTATCGTTCAAGTTGAATGAAACTGAACTGTGCCGAGGTTGAAATACGGGATTAGTCATTAATGTCAACGACTTTGGTCGTTGCCATAACGAATCGTCGGTGATTTCTCTGTTACGATCTAAGATGACAGTGGTTTTTGGCATTCCAGAAAACAGTGACATCGATTTAACATACAGCTATCGTTTGATGTTGCAGTTGGTATCCCTGGACGGATTACACAGCGGAGTGCCGACCAGAACGACGCCGACTTTGACGCCGACGACGCTTCGTAGCATCGAGCAGACATTCTTGGAGCTGACCAGCGAGTCAGCGTCGCATAGTCGCGAGGCAGGGTTCGTGCCACCGTTGGTCGAACCCTCGCAGCCGACGCCGGCACAAACGCAGAACACGACGGCGCATCACACGATCATCACCACCGCTGGCCCCGTGGCCACCAACACCACCCTCGTGGAGAGCCATCAGACGCAGCCGCAGCAGCCGACGAGGCGCAACATGGGCGGCAGGAGGCCCACCAGGACGATCGGTATGACCCCCGAGGAGGAGGAGCGACGACAGATACGCCGTGAAAGGAACAAGATGGCAGCAGCCAGATGCCGCAAGCGAAGAATGGATCACACCAATGCCTTGTTAGAAGTAAGTTATCAAATTCAGTTCCTGCAGCATCGTCGAGAAGGTCTTTTCATTTCATCTGCAACAATTAGCGAACGAAGTAGGTTAAACCCTCCAAGATATGGCACTTGCCTTTTTTAATAGATTGTACTTGTTTCGCAGGAGACTGAGGACTTGGAACAAAAGAAACAAAGCTTGCAGGAAGAGATCCATCAGCTGCAGCAGGCCAAAGACGAGCTGGAGTTCATCCTGGAGGCGCACAGAGCGGTCTGTCGGCTTCGTTCCGCGTCGCCGCCGGACGTGAAGCCCGTGATAAAGCCCGAGCTTCCGGTGGAGGAGCAGTTCGTCGCCAGCCCGAAACGCGATTCGATGCACGCCGCGCGACCAAACAGACCGAACTCGTTGCCGGTCGGCTTCGATAACAATAACCGGCCGAATTCCTTGCCGATCTTCACCGAACCGAAAGAGAGGCCCGATTCTCTGACGTTCAAGACCGTGGAGACGCCATCTTTCATGAAACCGTCGCTGGACATCGCGGGGATGCCGATCACGACGCCGACTAGCGGCATACCGTTCAACTTCGAGTCGCTGATGGAAGGTGGCACCGGTTTGACTCCAGTCTCCACGCCTCTGATACCATCCTGCTCGACGCAACAGAGAAACAATCTGGCCGCGGTGGACCTCAGCTCCCCGGACGCGAATCCGCCGAAACTCGTGAGCTTGTGACGCCAAGAAGGCCTCGAGTACGGATCGAACGAGGATGATCCGGAATGAAGGGAACGCTGTCTTTACCACTACTTTGTATTGCGGATGAATCGTAAAAAAAAAACTGTACAGGAGGAAGTGGAACCATGACGCAAGAGGGCCAGAGCTTGACGAATTCTTTTCTACATCACCAGTTGCCATACGTTGACCACGGGAATAATAATATCATCGATCTTGTCGGGCAGTATTAAACGTGACCCTCTCTGCAACGGGATTTAAACCCTTCTCTCCCTGAATCTTTGAACCTCGAAGAACGAGAATCGTACATTTTGTTCGTCGACCGACGGAGAAACGCCGTACGATGCATTTCCGATGACTCGTTTGTAAAGAAGAAAAAAAAAAAAAGAAAAAAAAAAAAGAACACGTTGCAATAAAAAAGGATGTCGTTGCATTGTTATCATTGATTGTATTCGACGAACATTACAGGAAGCGAGACACGAAACTGTTACCGTTATCATGAGATTCTGGTAACTTTCGACTCCCCCCCCACCACTCTCGATCGTGTCTCTCGACGAGATCTCGTCGCATCGAAACTAATTCAGTATTCGCGTTTGTCATGGAATTTTGTCCATTCGGAGGAAGCTTGTTGATAACTTTTTACAAATCTCCGCGGAGTGAATTTTCGATTAATTTTTGAGGCTAAAAAAAGAAGTTTTTATTCTTGTTATCGGGTTTCAAGGGGCGTGAATCGGTAGCGGGAAGACATTATTCGAAGAACCAAGTATTTTTTGTGCATCTTAAACCCCCTCGGGAATATAGTCGCGAACGATAGCGGTATCTACGCGCGCAAGTGATATATAATTGTATTTAACTCGTAAACGTTTCGCGTAAATAAATTAGAATGTAATAACGGAACGTACGAGGTAAGATTGTCATTTTTCTTTTTATTTTTTTTGTTTTTTTTTTTTGTTTTTTTTTTTAAAGAAATCGAATTAAAAGGGAAGAATTTTATACGAGTGATTATTATACACCGGGCGAGAACCGCGTAGGACGTTTTTAAGGCAATCGTTTTTAGCGCTCAAAAGAACCTTTTTGTAGGTTAAGGATTGTCGTGTCGTCTTTGAATTGCGCCTTTAACCATCCAATCTTTGCGTCGCACAATTCAAAGGTAACCATTAAAGCGGCTTAACGACGATAAACATTACATACACGTATATATATATATATATATATACACATACACATATATATTTTATTGGAGACTTTGCGGATGCTTTATTGTGCATTCGTTTGCCTTTCGACTCGTCCAAAGCCGCTTTTATGCAATACGAAAAAAGATTTATGTGCAACTGACGTGTTTGCAAGTCTCACCCCATAACATTTAATCCCTCCATACATATAATATATACACATACATATATTTTACTATGTATGACATTTTTGCATGATCTTAAGCAATATTAATATATTTATACACGACTGCCGATTGCAAGGCTGGTCGGTGTCTCGATGGAAGGCTTTCCGTTTTCTTTCCTTTTTCCTCGTAACGACTCGTCGATAATATTTCTACAAGCTGGTCGATTTCGAACCAGCCTTGCAATCGGCGGCCGGGATCGATGATCGTTTAAGAAAGATTGTAACGACACCATTGATAATGCTGCAATATATTTTAATTAGATCGAACGAATACAGGAGACCGGAACATGTGTAATTTGTCGAAAACAATAACGATGTTCCCATCGAATAAATTGTTACTTGTATTAGCTGTAAGCATTAGCTGCTGGCTATGGCGTGTCTCATAAATGCAGCGTTCTGTCGGAAGTAAATCGAAATGTGCAAATAACTCTTACGTTGGAGTGATCGTATTTTCATCTTTGTATAGTTGAACTGCTGATTTCTTAATACAAACGATTTCATAAAAATAACTACGAGAAGTGTTATATCGGTTTGAGAGGGGACGGTGATTACTTTATTCCTTTGTCACGTTATGCATCGCGTCGGCCAATTTATTTCACTCGCTGAGCTTTAACAATTTAACAGAAACCTGTTATCCTCTTGACAGCTTCTGCTTCGTTGATTGGATCCATCGTTTCGTAATGATCGAATTCTAACGAAAACGTTGCATGACCTGACGACAGTATCCTCAGCGTTGTTGAGTAACCCAATAGTTCGGATAATGGAGCGAAGCACTTGATCACCTGTTTGCAATCGCGTAAATTTAAGCTCTGCTTTTTATAGTTTGGTTTAAAAAAATTATCGTTACCTTGTTCTGCCCGCGAACATCAATGTTATCTATCTCTGCCCGCCTTTTTGGCAAGTCCGCCATGACACCGCTAGAATATTCCTCGGTCACGACGATCTCCAGCCGCATTATTGGCTCTAGCAATACCATTGTGCTGCTTTGCATCAACTAGGAAGCAAAGAAATTAATTTACAAGGTTTTCTTCGAAAACTAAAATACTTAAAAAAATTTCTAAATTTGACAATTACGATTCGAATTATTTCTTTTGTTAAAAATAAAATAATAATCAATAGCTTTGCTGATCCGACCAATATGGCTGTTATCGAGTATTCCTAACAACAATTAAAACTGAGCGTTAAAAATAACCTATAAACCATCTTAATCCATGAGTTCTTTCTGCATCGGTGCAATGCTCGAAAACGTTTGCCAGTTAATTAGTAATATCTATGACTATTCGGTTTTAGAATTCCTATGCGCAATCAGCAATGGACCAGACTATAGATTTAAGAAAGCCGGGGTTGGAAAAGTTCTTATCTACGCTTCGTCCAGCGAGAAGAAACTCTGTAAACATAATCTGTCTTATCATAGAACCAAAGTGACGAGATATAAGTTATATTAATTGTTAAGAGAAAATATAGAGAAATATCAAATAAAGTAGTACAAATAAAAATATATTCCTACAATTCTGATGATCAATGTACGAGTAGAAAGAGATTAAATCATCCACGTTCGTTCACGTTAGAAATGTTCTTTCGTATCCTTCGCTTTAGACAATAATGTACTATACAATGGAGCCACATCGTTTTGTTTACAGAGTTTTTTCGTTGAACAAAGCGCAGATAAAAATCTCGAATAACGAATAGAAGATAAACAATTTTGTATTTATATCCTCGTATTGAAGTTTGCTTCGGTTCGAGGCAACGATACCGTCGGTCGGAAAACAAGCGAACAGAAAGATGTAAATTCCAGAGTGCCAGGACCCGCGTGTAAATGTCTAATATTTTCGTAAAATAATCCCATAATTTAATGGTTGCTGGATATGTGTCCCTCTTGTACAGCGTCGGTGAGAAACCGTTAGAATATTGGAGCAAACAGCACTCGCAGTCCGGTCGAATTCGCAAGATCCTAGATTCGGATTTGGTGGAAAATGTATGCCCGTAGAACGTGCTACGTCCAAGTAATTCGAAACGATTCTAATAAATTTTACTGCGAACGATCGATAGGTTATCGAAATACAGGACTTCGAGCAATCCAACGGCTACGGCACCTCTATCCTCTGTCCGTTCGATTCGTCGCAGTTTCTCAATATCCAATTACCGATCCTAGTTGTGGTTATAAAAAATTTGAACTTAAAATGCCGTTTGCAAGTACAGGTAAACAGGTTCTGAGTTCTTGACAATCCCGTACAGGTTAAGTTTGTAGAGTCTAGAATGAAATTTCACCAGGTGGTCGATACTCAAAGTTGCCTGCATCATTTTCAATTCACCAACGCGGAGAACGAGAAGTACAACTCGAAGGATGTGATATGCCGCGTGAAGTTGAAACTGGAAACCGGATGGAACAAGCTGGAACTTAACCTATCGCATCTGACGCAAACCGCCTTTAAAAGCAGTTACGCGGCCACCCAGAGGTTGCAGATATACGGTAACTGTCGGCTGCGCAGGATCTACTTCATAGACAAGCACTACAACGACCAGGATGTTTGTCCCAAACTGTATCACGCGTTCCTGGAGACTTACATGCTGAAGTGGGGCATTTACACCGTCGACAAGACGACCCAGACCACTTTCAAACGGAACAAGAGCAAGATCAGGGAGAACAATAATCAGAAGAGTGTCGCAAGACGCTACAGCACCGACAACGTTCAAGCGGAGGAGACCGGCGTAAATTCTGCGAAAGATTCTGGCCGCAAAACGGTCAATGAGAATTTTCTGAGAAGCTTGCAGATGAAAACCGATCTACTGATCAACGACTTCTTCGACAGGCAACCCACAAAGCCACCGCGCGCCTTGGAGTTCAAGCAGCAAGCGAAGCTGAAACGTTACGCCCTTCCGGTATTGAACACGAGCCCTAAACCCTTTCGTTCCAGCGTTGTTTCGCAAGATGCGCTCAAGAAGATCGGTGTACTTCGAACGTTCACCGACATGTACTTAACCAGCGAAGAGAAACGCAAAGAAGAGGAAGCCGTAAAGGCTATTCAGGATAACTGGCAATGCAGGTACTTTCTCGGTAAGGAGAAGTCGAACAGCGGCGATTCGTCCAAGCAAAATGCAGCTAGGACGATGCTGGAACGAAAGCCCAGGTCTTTGCTGGTATTGTCCACGATGACACCTGACGGCGGAAAAGAGAAGACTTTAGGGTCCGTCAAGAAGAGCAAAGAGACACGGTCGCCGACTGATTGAAATTAATTTTTCGATACGACACCTGTCGATATACTTGTTTACAAATTTATAGAAATACAACATTACCTTTTTGATGTTTTGCGAAACAACAGCGGTAACTATCGTCGGCGACGTACCAGCGCCGAGTTCCAGCCAGTGTAACTTAACCGCCATGTTTACAACCGGATAACTTAGTTTTGGCCCGTGCTGCATAACCGATTCCACTCCAGCCTTTACCGCCTTCATCATGTTCGGACGTATAGCGTCAATGTTTGCGATACAATCCGGTGTCCTGTCCAATAGCAACGTCCGTGTTCCTTTATAATGCGGTATCAACGATAGAGTTGTCGTGACTGCGTGTTTACTTTTTCCTATTTGATACTCGGACGTGAAGGTATCTTTGATAGAATTCACTATCGTTTCTCTGTAAGCAATTTGCAATTGGCCTATGTCAGCGTCGACTTTGTATTCCGATCTGATCCTTTCCTTGATAATTTCTATGTGCAATTCACCCATACCCGCGAGTATCGTTTGGCCATTTTCATTGTCCTGGGACACTCTCAAGCTTGGATCTTCTCTCTCGAGCTGTTCGAGCGCAGTCTCTAAAGCTGCCTGCGAGGCAGGGGACGGTGCTTCTATCGAGCAAAAAAATACAGGCTCCAGTATCTTGGAATTTGAAGTGAAAAAGTTTTCAACGTCCTCCGGTTCGATGTCCTTTCGCGCTGCCAGATACTTTCGCGCATTGCTCGCTGCTGCTGGACCGGATGTCACTAAATCGCCGGTCGAGGTATGTTTTAATCCAGCAACGGCTGCGATGTTACCGTGACTAATTTTTGATACTTCCTCGTAGTCGTCCGCGCAGGCAACGTATAATTTGTTACCCTGTTCCGATATTTCCTTCTGAACGTTATATATCTTTCCACCCTTTTCCATGGTACCGGTGACAATTCTGAAGAAGGTGATGGGTCCCCTTTGCTTGTCATGGACAACTTTGAACGCTCGCGCGGATAGATGTTTGCCAAACGACTGATAATATTTCAAATATTTATTTTGATCGGGCGATGGTAAATATAGCAGAATGCTGTCCATTAAGGGTTGCACTCCTATGTTTTTGTAAGAACTACCCAAAACTACAGGGATGCCTCTCCTGCTTATAGTAGTTCTGTATAAAGCATCCAGTAACATTTGCGGAGAAATTGAATCCAAAGATTCTTGTTCGATGATTTCATTAGCTAGTTTATCATCCATATTGGACAATTTATCTGCTAAATCTCTACGCTTCTCAAGCGCCGTTTCCCATAAATGTTTATCCTCATTTTCAGATAACTTTAATCTTGTTAGCTTCTTGCCCAAATCTTTTTTGTCGAACAATAATTTCTCCAGCGAAACCACATCCACGATACCTTCCAGAATTCCATTTTCCTTGATTGGGAATTGCGTAGGCAATGCCTCTGCGTTTAATTTTGATTCTATAGACTTCAAGCTCGCATCAAAGTTGGCATCTGGCCTATCCATTTTATTTACATAAATAATTCTAGGTATGTCATATTTGTCGGCTTGTCTACAAACTGTCAATGTTTGAGCCTCGACACCTGCAGAACCATCAAGTATGACTACGGCACCGTCCAATACCCTTAACGTTTGTTCTACTTCCATGGTGAAGTCGATATGCCCTGGAGTGTCTATTAAATTAATACGATAATTCTTCCATTCAAATGTTGCTGCTGCGGAAGTGATTGTTATACCGCGCTCGCGTTCTTGGTCCATGTAATCTGTTACTGTATTTCCATGATGAACCTCTCCCATATGTCTGATCAGGCCAGAATAATACAACATCCTTTCCGTGGTAGTGGTTTTGCCTGAAAGAATCATTATTGGAATCGTAATTTACGATAAAAACAAAATTACACGTCGATAGGTTACATCGATGGTATATTAAAATTTAGACAAACCGGCATCGATGTGTGCCAAAATTCCAATATTCCGAATTTTTGCAATTTCCTGTTCCCCATCGTGTTCTCCTTTTATAATTTTCGAACTGTTTTGTGCGTATCGTTTATGAAATTTGCTCCACGAAGTCGTAAGTAACCTACGTTTCAACATGACTTAATCTACAATGCCTCGTAAATTCTATTCGTACACGAAAATGAAAATTTTTATCAATTTAACTTTATTAGTATTTACATGACGTTGTTTTCAAATTTCATTTAATTAAAGTACAATACTTAATTAGGGGCAAATAAAAACAAACATGTTCTCTTTATGTAAATAAAACATATTTATCATATGGTACAAATAGCAGTCCACAAAAGTCTTGGAACAATTAATAATAATGTGCATTTAAAGATTATTAATATTTAAATAGGGTAATAGTTCGCATGAATTGCAGCTTGTAATCATCGCTCCATCGATTGCATCAAGTTTGAAGCAATTTCATTGCTTATGTTCCTCCATTCGGATTTTAAAATATTTTTTAATTGCTTCCGGTTCGAAACCGACTTTTTAAAAGTTTTTCAAAATTTGCGAACGGGGAAAATATTGCTATCATGTGGAAAATTTGCTAAATAACCTATTCTTGGACAAAATTAAAAGTTGTAGTCATTTCTAAAGATTTATTTGCTTTTATTAGTAAACATAGTTTTTTCCCCGAAACAATATTTTTTACGGTTAATTTCGTTCACGAATGGTACGTGCATGAAAACCATTTCGACGTAATGTACGATGTATCGTTCGATATCCCGCCAAATTCTTTTACAGTACTTGTTAGGCGGTTGTTAGTACAATATTAGAGCATCTATTAGAGATATCGTCGATCGATTTGGAACGTCAGAGAAAATAAAGCATTTATAATATTTTAAATGGAATATTTATTACATTCTTTACAAATTACTATATATATTTAGCTTTGATGGTTGATTCATCATAATATGTATTAAACTTTCTCCACTTTTTCCTTCTTAAGGGATCGAATTTAGTATTGGTGGGAGATCTACTTGGTATTAGTCCTAAAGTAAAATATGTTGGTCAAATATTTTTTGGATTAATTAATAACCATTATTATTACAGACACAATTAAGACTTATGCAGAATTTATATTTTACTGACCTGCTCTCTGTGCCATTAGGATCATTATACTAATTCTTTTTTGTTGCACTTTGCACAAACCTGTAATTCTACGGGGCAATATACAACCATCCGACCTAAGAAACTGGCTTAGAATAAGGACATCCTATGAAAATGTTTGATTACTAGAGAATCATAGAAAAAGCAATGAAATAGTAAATTCTTACTGTATGTTTAACATCAAGACCGTGCGAACATATTGAACAAGCTCCATTGTTAGTTTTCACTAATAATGCCTCCTTTTCGTATGGTTTAATCACCCCTTCGATAGTTAAAGTATTCCCTTCCTTCTTCTCGATAACTGCAAATATGAAATACGTAATTCGAATCGAAAAGTATAGGTTATAAATATTAAATCGTGCAATGGAAAACAGGTGAAAATAATTTTCGAATCAGTATTTATGTTTGTGGTTTTCGACTCACTTTCTTTAATATTCCTTGTCGCAGATAATGATATATTTCTATTTTGTCTTGATAGTTGTACATTGTTCCCTAAATATTTTACGAATCGAAATAACGCAGCCATTTTTACAGTATACGAAAGAGGTTATCCGAAACCTTTTTACATACACCGAACATATACATTATCTCATATTTTGAATCAAATGGCTGAGTTTGTAACTAATGTTTATTTATGATCAGTATTGTTTGGATCGCTCGAGCGAATAATTCTACTTAGGAATACCTTTAAAAGAGGTTCTTAAGGACGCAATTAAAGGGGTTTTAAGTCGCATGAAAATTTGAAATTTTCAAATGCAAAGTGTTCGATAACTTGTTTTCGTTCAACATATGTAAACAGAAATAGTTTTTTAATAGCTCCCAAAGGGAATTAATTGTTGATTTGCCGAATGCTGCGAAAGGAAGAATTTTATTGGTCCTTTCTGCTCTATCTTCCGGTACCAGACGTCAGACGACGTGGACGTTGAAACATGGAGGTCGCGTCATACGATGCAAGTTGAATAAAGTCTGGAAACCACAATGGGTCTGTGCAAGTGTCCGAAAAGAAGAGTTACAAACTTATTTTGTTTTGAACATCGTGTCAATGTTTGCGAGCATTGTATGGTTACGAATCATCCGAAGGTATTGTCTTGTTTCTATTAAAAAAATCCGTGTTTGAGTTTAGTCTACACAAAATTCGTATCGATGATTTAATTGTATCGAACCAATGTTGAGAACGTTTAAACAATAATTAACTTGCATATACCATTTGCATGTACAATGTGATATAAAATCAATAGAAAATAAATTCTCGATACCCTAAAAAATAAAAGAATTACAACGTCCGTATGTTAGTTAAAGATTAATAAATTATACGGTTGGTTCGTTTACCAAAGAAAGCAACGAAAAAAAAACAAATTTATTCTGTACAAGTTCAATTTTTCACGATAAAATAATTGTTTCATAACCTAAAAATACACCCGATTCAGGAAAAGGCGACGTCACTGTCTTGAAAAAAGGAGGCATACCAACTTTACTATCTGCTATTAGTCTTTAACTGTCATACAACGTTGTTTTCAATGCAAGTATTATTAATTAATTCTACTTGTTTTTTTTTCAGTGCATAGTACAGTCGTATATTCTATGGCTTCACGATCACGATTACAATCCAGTTTGTTCACTGTGCTCGACATACCTAAACGAAGGTGATTGCGTTCGATTAACTTGTTATCATATGTTTCACTGGGCATGCTTGGACAAGTATGCCAGAGAATTACCAGCAACAACAGCACCCGCAGGGTACACGTGTCCGTTTTGCAAGGAACGTATCTTCCCTGATGCAAAGTTAGTGTCACCCGTAGCAGATGTTTTGAGAGAAAAGTTAGCAGGAGTCAACTGGGCACGTGCTGGGTTAGGATTACCCTTGGTACGTAGCTCGAACAATTGTGCATAGCAATGCATATAAATTACAGGTACACGTTCTTTGAATCTTATGTTTTACAGTTGAGCGATGACAGGGAACAAGAACCCGAACAAGAACGCCCGTTGTTAAGAGTCGAATCCACATCGTACCCAAATCACACAATGACGACTTCGACGGCACATTCGGTAGCTATATCGCGTTCTGCTAGCACTGTAAACTCGGTGCACGCTAATATAAACAGCGTGCATTTAAACAATCAGAAGGTTGGTCCACCTTGTTCCATTTTAAATATCGATTCGTCTTCGGGGATGTCCACTCCGATGTCGAGAAAAGTTTGCGAGGCGTACGACGATCCGAAAGAATTGTCGTTCGATCACGATGAAAATAAATATAAAAGAAAGTCTGCCATCGAGTGGTTGTTGAGGTGGTGGAAATTGATAGCGAGTCCGACGACGCAACGTAGAAATACACCCGGCTCGTTATACAAAAAATACGCAGTGGTAGGAATCATGGGTGTATTAGCTTTTATCGGGATGGTAATTTTGTTCTCGTGGTTTGGCAGGATGGCCACAGACGGCGATCCAAGCTACGATCTTTCCGCGAATCCTAATATTTTGGTCGACGATAATAAACCTGCCGACATTTAATACGTTCTTCTCGAAAGATCGTATCTATTTCGAACACGAAAAACGAACGAAACTTGCGCGATATAGATAATACTTGTCGATCGAAATAAATGAAAAAGATATATATATATATATATCGATTACTAATAAACTTAAGATACCGTATACTGTTAGCTGTAATATTTGTTAATTTTTACGTGAAACTATGCTTTATAACTGTGTTGTATATTTTGCTCTGTAAAAAAATTTACAATTTTTCAAAAGTACTGGATAATTGTACCGATCGTTAGTTCTTTTATACAGTCATGTACGAAAAAGTAAAGGAAAGATTTGCTGCCAATCCCAATCATTCACTTAACGATCTAACGTAAGATAAAAGGATTTTTTAATCGTGTTGGTGATCTTTTTATTATAAATGCACTGTTTTAATATTTAGGTTATTGTATTTGTTTCGAAGGTAAGGTAATAATTTATTTAAAATAGATGCCTGAAAATGTCTACCGTGTAATTCATTTTCGTGGTTATCTAACGTTTCGTTGGACGTTTACCCGCCAATTTTAGCATTCTCGGTTCCCCATTCGTTGATACTAACCTCATTTTCTGGACGTTCGGATAGTCCCAGTCGTAGTCTCCGTCGATATCGGTATTTTTACGACGGCAAAAACGTAATAGGAACGAGAAAATTCACCATGTTCGATTTATTCGGGTCAAGACGCGATTGTGCTTGCAATTCAAATGAGAGTCCAGCGACTTATCTGAGAAATAATCTGCCCATGAAATTTTCATACCTTCTAACCACATCCAGTGGTGTCTACAAGCTACTTTGCATTCGAAAGTCTGTACACAAGCGAAAAGTTTGAATTTTATAATAAATACATACACTATAGAACTATCGAAAACGAAAAATTGATCGATTCTGTTTGTTATTTATATATTATTATATTTCCGATTCCGTTTTCGTTACCGAGCTTCCTATTGAGTATGGTGAATAACAAGTGCGATAGAGAAATTATTGTGTATCGTATGCTGTTTATCGTGGACTGGTAAAAATCATTTTGAATCGTGCATGCGAGCTCCGTGCATCGTTTGGTTTAAATTTTGAAAAATAAACACCATGACCAGCGGTATTAAGCAGAGTGGGGAAGTTCGATTTTCTTTCTTTTCGCGTTCCATAGCAGCCAGTTGCGAATAGGACGAGGATACCATCGTATACTTGTTGATCACGCGTAGCGATTAAAGTAATTCGACGGTAATTTTTTGTTTTTCAAAATTTTTATACCAACGATAGAGTAAATTCCGTTTGTAATAGATATGTACTTCTTTATTAGTAAACAATAAATGTTTCGATAACGTAAAGTTTGAATAAATTTCGTGTCTTACTCTGTATAGACACTTTGTACAAATCGAAAACAAATCTTGTTTGGATTTCGTGATATTAGACGCTATACTGTTAACGGTATTAATATTCCGTATAGTATTACCGTGGAAACGTTAACGGAATTTCGATCGTACGGAAATCAGTGTTACCATTGAGGCGAGGTGCCCCCATCAAGCTCGACGGTGTGCACTATTTTAACGATGGAATTGGTGAAATCGATCGTAAGAAGGCACTCTGCGATACTCGCTGTCGATTTAACGACATCGATCGGTCTCGTTTATTCGTGGAACAAGGGATACAAGAGTTTAGCGTCGACGATCTCGATCTGTTGCATTGGTAAGGACGTAAGAATAAAAAGCACAAGTGTTTAAATTAAAGAGATTTTTATTATCGTTGATCGTGGATTTCCTTAATATCGCGGACACTTTGTAACGTCAAATAATAGCTGCTTATCTACTTACCGGCAGATTAATTCGCTTATTAGAATGCGATATCAGCAGAAAAGTCGGTGACACGATGCAATCGCGAGACGTCGTTCTCTGATCGTCCAATCGTATCGGTAATCAGACTCATGTATTTTTAAGTTATAAATAACAAACGAAAATCGTGCGTCGATTACGAAATCGAATTACAGCATTGTTTCGGGACACATGGTGTCGTTATTTTGTTTCGATATTTAGGTTGCGAATGCCTCACTGTGCGACGGTTGTTAAACCAAAGGATAGTTGAAAATGAACGGTTTGTTCCAGGTGGAACTTATTTGTATGGTCGTCGTATGATGTCTCGGTATAGAATAACCTCAAATCAGGCCGTGGTCCTGACTGGCTGCGATTCGGGGCTGGGATACAGTTTGGCTCTTCATTGCCGGCAGCTCGGTGCAACGGTAATCGCCGGCGTGTTTCAAAACGAAGGTCCGGGCGCTAGAAGTTTAAAAGAGAACAACGTGCACGTTTATCCTCTCGACGTCACGAAAACCAACAGCGTCGTAGATTTCGTCGATTCCGTTCGAACGATCGTGGCGCAGGAACGTTTGGGTAACTGTTCTCTTTTGTGCCAGAGAGGATACATTTTTTATCCGTTACTCGGCGATCGAATATTTAAATTAAAATAACTTTAAGAAGTTTGAATTTAAGGAGATTGAAAATAGGAGAATATCGTGAAAATCTATTTGCAGCGTTACGGTGGTTTGTCAATAATGCCGCGGTGATGATTATCGGTGAGTTTGAATGGCAAACGGAGGAACAGATCAGAAATCAAGTGGAAGTGAACTTCCTCGGCGCTGTGAGAATCACTCGTGAACTGATGCCGATGATCCGCGGCCACTCTAGCAGGATTATCGTAATCTCGAGCCACTGTAACATGCAACCGATCCCCGGTGTGGCGGTTTACAGCGGGACCAAAGCTGCGATTACTGCATGGGCCACAGCCATTAAAGTGGAACTGAAGAAGTACGGCGTCGAGGTCGTTTGCTATGTGCCTGGTCTGTAACCAAATATACCAGTTACTCGTATTACTGGAAACGTAAGATGGCGCATCAGAAACGAACGATCCAATTATATTTCTCGCCTTTACGTTCCACGAGTCTCGTCTAAACGAAATATTTTCTCGCGATTTTAACGTTCTTGCCAGCGTCGGGCGAAATCTGATTTAATTGGAAATCGACGATTGTCGATCGTTCGTTCGAAATGATTTCTAATGTTTGTCCGTTGAAGATACATTTTTTTAAGAACGTTGCCACTTTCTCGCAGGTTCTTTCGTCGGAGAAAGCAACATATTAGCGCGACAAGCCGAACATTTCGAAACGATGAAGAAGTCGATGCCGGAGGAGGCGAAAGTTTTTTACGGCGAATATTTTGACAGATATTCGAAATATTTCATGTCGGTGGCGCATGGCGGAGAGTCGAGGAAGCTGCAGGATCCGCGTATCTACAAGATTTTCGAAGGCGCCCTTCTCGACAAGCGTCCGTCGGCGGTTTACAAGTATGTTCACGGGTCGAAATCAACGAACAAACTGCTCGGAACAATTACAAGATCCCGTATCCCGAATCTGAATAATTGATCGAACAACGTCAGCGACGTTAGAAACGTTACAAGTTGCAGATTTTAATCAGGGTCCAATATACTAATAAGTATTTATTGGATTAATTGATCAACATTTTTGGCTCACCTGTTGTGCAACTAGACTATAATTAATTTTTTAATTGTTTCGTGTGATTCCAAATGCGCCTCTCGGTCGACTGAGCTCTGCTCGCACGAGCACGAAATTACTATCGTGACAGTCCTTCGATATCGTAGTTTCCGGATCAAGATACGGTCCGACACGCGTGACAGAACTATATTTTTGTATCGATAACAACTCGACACCTGCATCGAAACACCTGTTCGTTTCGATTCGTTTAAAAAGAGTTTAGACGACCGACACACACTTATTTTAAGCCTTCTTTCTAATTACGATTATCAGACGCTAAGAATGCTGTTTAAACATTTATCTAGGAACGAAACGTGGAGATACAGCGTTTATCACGCGCTGTTTTTCATCGCGCCAGCCAGCGTTCGCGATTGGCTGGTTCAGAAATTCGTGCAAGGACCTTCCTGGACGAAGAAAGACGTCGAGGCAGCAAAAAACATGGCGGAGAAACAGGGTTCGGAGAAAGGATTATTGGAATAAATTTTAATAAAAACAACATTCTGATTTACACGATTAATATTTTTAATTCGTGAAAACATCGATTAAAAATTTGTTACCGTATTTATTTAAAATATCCTGCCCTTAATACCGGTACTATGCAATGTGTGAATTATCGATCCGACGAAGTAATCGTGGCGATATATCTGTGACGTTCCATTTTTGTTTTTTTTTTTTTTTTAACACGAGCTTTATTCGGTGGAAATAAACCGAAGCACTCGAATTTCAATAATCGACTTTGCAAATACTATTGCTACTTTATTGTGTATTCTTTTTGTTTCCCATCTGTTACGTTAAATAAATTGTATTCAACCAAGATCAGATTTTCCATCGATTCTCAAAATCAGCGATAACCATCATTGCCACATTAATTTGTTTTTATCCGTGCCACCTGCAACATTACACAATCGCATTTTTCTAATCTGTGCGCGTAGAAACGATTCTCCTATACTTTTTAAACGATTTTTATTGATAATCCGACGGTCACGCGTAATTTGTGTAAGCCAGGTGTGCGTTTCAAGTGTTTTTGAATATGGCCGACGATAATTGGTCCCGATTATTGGTATTCGATTAGATAGTAACAGAGAATAAATAGCTAGCTTCGATTAGTACCGAGCATCAGTTGTTCCAGATCCCGAACAAACAGCACAATGGCATTCCTCGCTTACGGTTGGTACCATTTACTTAAAAATTCTATCTGCAATACCGCTTTTGATTCTTACGATTTTCAAATACTTGAAAATACTTTACGCGATAAAAACAAATTGAAAAATTTCACAATTTTTTAAATTTGATTCTAACCAAGGCAAATTGTAATTGCAGTTTACATCATGGCCGTGTTCCTGGTCGCCGACTCCATGCAGTCGGTGTTCCAGCCCTGCGACGGCATCCCAGCGCCCGAGAGCGTGGTCATCTCGGCGTGCGAAACGCTCCCCTGCTCCTTCAAAAGGGGCACCAACGTGTTGGCCGACATCAAGTTCCGCGTCAGTAAGTAAAACGACACGCAACAAAGGAAAAACGAAATTCAGTTTCAAGGTGGCCAGATATTTGATCGCGTTAACATTCGTTACAGCCGAGAACACGAAAACCCTGAAACCAGTGGTGGATGTTCAGCTTGGAAGCGTGCACATCAAGTACCCGTTGCCCCAACAGAACGCTTGCAAGGACCTCACGGACGCGGAGTGTCCGTTGGACAAGGGCGAGCTTGTCACCTACCATCTGAACATGCCCATCGAGAAGAGCTACCCGACCATTTCCCTGATCATCGAACTGTCGTTGGTGGACGAGCACAACAACTCCCAGATGTGCTTGAAAATCCCCTCCAGGGTTGTCAACTAAGAACTAAGAATTTCTGCCTGACAAAATGGACCACGCTCGTACGGATCGCAATGTTAAATTTTAAATATAAGTAAAATGTTGTATTGAGAAACGACACTGTTCTTTATTTTACTATTTTCCCGGTAAACGGTTCTTTGTAACGTAAGAACCATATTTGATCAATATTTTGTCCATTTTGTTCCAATTTGAACATTTACATTCAACAATTGCAATTACAATTATAATTGTAGTGCACCGAAACCACATATTGCAATTGTATTTTGCAACAATTTTTGTGTATTTCGAACGCGACGATTCTGCCTTGAAAAAAAGGGTTAACGGGTTCCTTCTGTTCTCGAAACATTTTTACGTCTGTAAGAATTTAGTACGGGCCTGTAACGCGAGAAACAACGCAGGGTGAACCATAAATGCACGTCAGAGCTTGAAAGGGCGAAGCTAAACACGGAAACAAGTAAATGTGTTATACGAGCCTCGGGTTCTATACATATAACGTAGCTTTTGAGTTATAGAAGAGCTTGCGTTAAATTCACGCGTTACACACGTCTGTTGAGCGGAGAAAGGGATGAGATGAAAATCCAGGGGGTTCGGGCGTATGCCTGACCCACATCTCCGCGCAACGATCGACCCGGTCGCATGGCTCTGAAAGATATCTAGTGACACCTTCGAACACTCTCATAACGCGAACAATAATATCTCCACGGTCCTCGTACCATTCACCAACGATAACGCAACCACGCAGGCTTGTAAAAATATTTTTTTATTTATTAAAAATGCCTTTAAAATGAACTCAAGTACGCCACTGAAAATAGTCCAGGCGTACGTAACCCTGTCAGGGAAAACTAGTTTGGCCGCCATTGTGTTAAAGATTAAAAGTTGAGAGGATTGGTCCTTGAGTGAATGAAATGAATACAACATAGAGCGAACGATTTCTCAGTTGTTCAGGTTCCATTGAAAGGAATTTAGTGCTGTTTAAGTAGCGGAAGAGAAATGAAAACGTTTCGACCGAGTATCGTGCATTGATTTGGTCCGCCATGTTTTAACGAAAAGCCAGTCGGAACGCGAAATGGAAATAACGACGGCGCGAACGTAGAACGATTCGGTCGGAAATTGTTGCTGTCTGTTCGTCGCCGCGTAACGGCAAGATTATTATACGGATCACGGAAAAGAATTCCGTCCAGTAATAGAATTTCGCGTGCACTTTCAGTCTGATGGAAATTTATTGGACATTCGTAGCGCATCGGATAATTCCGGTGGAAAATGCATCGTTCGGGTAGCCAATTATTCTCCTCCTTGTATCATTTACACGTTATTATTTTGCAGGTACGCGATGCCGCGTTAAACGAAGATTTATGATCTGCTCGCGAGGGAAAAACGCGAAGAAGATATTTCACGGGGACATGCATAAACCGACGATTATTTATCTGAAAATTTTAATAATTTATTAAAACTAATATCGACCCACGAGGTCTTCCAATTTCCCCAATTACATTGCTGCGTTAATTTCCACGCGTCCTCGAACACCACCCGATCGATCATTCCATAAGACTTGTCCCGTAGTTCCAAACAAAATTCTACCCGAGTCGAAAAGGGTGGGGAAAAACAGCGTGTACGTTGCTATTAATTAAATTAGTTGACTGACCGTTTCAGAGGTACTTACACAGCGTGTCCGTCTATAGAGGGTGTGCACCTTGCGTCAATCGTTTACAAATTTGTCGACCCGCCCGATTGGCCGGCACTTGTCCTTGACATTATTCCGGCTGGATGACGTCTCCGCTTGCACGTAAGATAAAATAGCAACGATGCGCGTAAGTGCGCGCGAACGTCACTAAACGGTCTGTTTAAGCTACAGTCGACTCGAAGAAAGAATAGACCCCGTTGATGGGAGAGGGGGAAGACTCCACGCGTGGGAATCCGTTCCCCCCCCACCTTCTACCTTAGTCCCCCGGTTGTGGTCGATCTATCTAAATACATAACCCAAACGAACACGTGGAAAATAATGCTAAGATATTAAGTTGTCACAAATGAAACCCCTACGTTCCCTAGCCCTTAACTTCAACTTTTATTTTTCATAATTTGAGGTTAGGTAAACGCATTAGATAAATCTACCAGCATCTGTTAAATTATAGGTTACAAAACAAATGCCGATAAAGTTAACAACTGTGCCTTAAGTTTGTTCTAACCGGTGTCTGTTTTGTTTCAGGTTATGTTAACGGTTGGGACGAGTGCTGTGCAATCAGGTGTGGACGCTATTTGCGATATATGTACTCGATCTCATCGTTCAACCGGATCAAAGGATCGTTTCCTGCTCGAATAAATGGTCACTCGAGTTGATTTATTTTTCGACTCGGCCATCGACGAAGAGTTTCAAGATGAAATGGATGCCGTTTCGTAGCCAGCGCTCATCTTCTTCTGTCGCGAAATGGAAGAAGCACGAAATTTGTACCCTCGTTTGTACATTTCTTTTTCCTCCGTGCCTTCTGTCTCGTCGACCCTTCGAGCCTTTTGCTTTATAGAACGCGTGTGTAATACCGATTTCCAGCGCCGCCACTGTGCCAATAACGATTCCAGGGCTGGCGTGCCTCGCGTATGTATGAACCAGATCGAAAATAAACAGGTCTCCGGCGACAGAGAAGATTGGCTTCGAAACGCTATCGCTGGAGGTGCTGTTAACGATAATATTATCGGTAAACATCAATAAATGTCAAGATTTATCGATATTTATCGGTATTTATGTTTGGAATACACGAAATGTAAACTGTCAATAATGTCTCGTTCGCGGAAAACAAATATTGGGAATTCGTTTGATTCGAGTGGTCCAAGTATATAGAAACATTTATAAGTGGAATTTTAACGAAGATGGACACTTGGAGACACATTGTGGCGTACCAGCGATTCCTGCCACGTATCACCAGTACAGAACAAAACTGTATTTTTAGGTTAGTTCGTTCTAACCTCTTTCGTTTCGTTCCATCGCGTATTCTGCATTTCTGTTTATGTAGAAATTACTTTCTAGGGCGAGATTCTATCGTATCTCCTGATTTCAAGTTATGGCTCGTCTCAAGTCAGTGAATCGATTTCCAGCACAAGAGAGGTTAAGTCAAAATAAAAATAAACAAGGTGAGATTAAGATTTTAATACGCGACATGTTTCATTCATGCCTGTTCGCATTGTCAATATATTAGTGAGGTTATCGATAAATTATCAATATCTTATCGATAACCGTTAGTATGTACGGGGATAACGCAACAGTGTGACGCAGAGAACAGATGTATAAATACGAAGAAACTGGAACTTTGCATGCACTTAGCTTCGCGAGCGAAGCTGCTCTTTTCGATGCAAGTGCTCTCGTCCGATGCATCCGACAGTAATGCACCGGGTGAAAAATGACTCGGTATATGCGTGCGAACAGCGTGGAGATCTTGTTCCGCGAGAGATTAATGAGACGTACGTTTTTGGTGCATCACGAATAGGAATTCAAATCTCCGTACGTCGTGACGATCATTAGAAATGCTTAAAAATGACAAGCAACTAGTTCTGATGAAATTCGGTTTCAGTCGATTCGTCTTTCATTTCTGTTTTCATGTAAACTCCGATAGATGTCCCCGATTCGCGATGTGCTTTCAAGTTGTCACCGAAAATAGATTGCGTTACTGAAAAATAATTGTCAGCTAAAAATCATTATACTCGTGCGGTTTATCCATCGGTATGACACATAAAACCTGTGTTCCAGGCACGTCGAGAGAAGTTTTTTTTCCGGTTTTCAATCACTAGTATGTCAGCTATCTTCGCCGGGAACGGAGTTTTATACAAAACTTGCGGAGTTCGCGTTCCGCCCACGTTTCAGTCCAAGTATTATACAATACCGACGCCAATACTATCGCATCGTGAAGTGCTCGTAACATGCGTCTACGTGAGCGCGAAGCGAATGAGAGCGAAGCAATAGAATTGGAAGCCTGGTGACACATTCGTCCTGGCCATGGAAAATTAATTGAGCGTGACATTTACGAGCCGAATCGATACGAGTATTCCGCGAGCTTCCCCCGATCCTTTCGATTAAAACAAAAAAATGTTGTAATCTCGAAAAGGTTACGTTTAACGTCTCGCTCGATCGATCGACTAATCGATCAACGAACCGCCGAGTTTACGATTCCATCGATCCGTTCGAGTGGCGGCGAGAAAGCACGTGCCGGGTGGAATCTGGGCCGCTTTCGTGCCGTTCGAAATTCGTAAAAAGTACGCGACGTTTGACCGCGCTTAATTAACGAGGATCAACGAGGGCAAAAGTGTGCGGGAAGGTTAATACGTTCTGAATTAAAGCGAATCTCCCTTCGCCCCCCCGGGGGATTGTCGATCGAGAGAAAGAAAGAATAGAACGGCGGTACGGTTTCTTTCCAAGCGACACCTAACCTCAATCTCGTAAATTCGCTCGCCGGTAGACGCGCGAGATGCATGCAACCACTGCCCGGAAACAATGAATATCGTCGATCGTTTGCTCGATAACTGCCAACGACACGAAGAAGCCATGGGTCGCGATACGGTAAGGCCCCGTGCGACACCATCCGTGTGGCGAAGAGAGACGAAGAAAGTTGAAGCATCGCGAGTGAAAAAAGACGCGTGACACCACGAGCCTCGTTGACGCGAGAACACGATAGACAGAGAGAATAACCACACAAACGTACACGAAAAAAGGGGTGGGGGAGAGATGGTTTATTATAATTATCGGGCGAGCGAGTGAAAGGGACTTGTCGCCCAAAGTGGTGGGGCACAATTGTGCCGAGTCCGGTCGGCTTCGTATCGCTTGTGAACTCGTAGTTCGTGGTAGTACGAAAAGACGCTTCGTGCCGTGACGTCAGCACGGCTTTCGGGACCGTTGTACGTATCGTTTTCGCGGTCGAATTTGTTTCTGTTTTTGTTCGTGTGTACGTGTTCGAATCGCACGCGTGTGCATCGGCCGAAAAGAAGCCAGTGTTGTGCGTATTGTCGAGGTTCGCTGGTGATCGTGGGTGCAGCGTGCACGGCAGGTAATCGGGTTGTCGTCCGATCGCCATCATTGTTGTCAAGATGGCGTCGAAAGGGAAGCTAGCAACCGAGGTCAGTAACATTCTTCGCTATTTTTATACTTGTACGCGTTCGATGTTGGTTCGATGACGACCCAAGTGCAGGGTAAACGTACGAGGAACGCTTGAATCGAGCGTCTTCCGTGCGGTCCTTTTACGTTATCGATTATTTTATCGACCCCGCGATCATCGTCGACCGTGTCGCGCGTTTTGAACGTCGCGAGGGCAAGCGTCGTGTTCACGCAGGAACGTCATATTGTCCGGTGAACCACGCCCTTCGGGTAGCTTTCCCATACAGAATTTCTTATCGATTTTAATTCACGATATTACGGTGTTCAAACAGGTACCAGACGATTTCGCACAAATATCCGGCCACTGGAGTGTACAAATACAAGTCTCGTGGCACCGTATCCCACTGTTTAAATAACCTTATTGATCGTCGGAAAAAAAATTGCGCAACCTGTTTAATGACACACTTGTTCTTAGTATCGTTAGTAACAGTGACAGCATAAAAGTGGATATACGGGTGAATACCTTCCGCTAATAGGTTAATTGCGATCTATGTGTCATGAAGGAAGCGTCGTACTTACGTGCACGTAATTACATTTATTAGAAGTGATTCCGTATCCGTGATTCTGTATCCGTGCAACAAGAAATATTACCTGACCACGAAATGAAACATTCTAGGTATCAACTTGTAGCATTGTTTCGAAAAATAATATGCACGTGGCTCCGTGTACGTAATCCCCGTTTGTTTTGTTGTAAAACGTCTCGTTGGTTTGCATTAAGCGGTCTACCGATTTCTTGCATGCAAACACGATCGCTCGAAAGTGTTTTGCATCGTATCGTATTACGATTTCTTGCTTGACGATATTATATTTGTCGTTGAATCTTTTACCAAAGAATTCGTATTATTATATTCGGGCCAGTTCTGTTTGTAACGGATGCAAAGTGAAAATATTTAAAGTTCGCGACCTTGTTTACACAGTTGAACTTAGAGACTCCTAATTAGAATGTGTACAGCTTTTTTTTTTTTATCGAGAGTCCGGTGTTTGGTGGTAATTTTAATTTTTGTTATTCCAAAGCTAATTATTGGGTAACAGATTGTAGAGTAAGTAAACATGTCACTTTGATATCCTCTTTCGAAATGTTATACGAAATTAAGTTTATCTTCGTAATAAAATAGTGAAGATATATCACATTTACGTCTCAACGATAGTAAAACTATTGAATTTATATTAGTTCATTATCGTCTACGTATATAGGATCAAGACAAGCTGGTTGACAAATTTCACTACGTAGAACTATGTCAAGGTCTGGGTATGCCGGTAACGGTCGCCATCCCGCGGGAAAAGGTGAACCGACAAATAGTAAAATCCCCTAGAAAATTCTGTAGTTTACATTCCTATCCCTCTCTATCGGAAGCTTATGACCGATGGCCATGCGTGAAAATATGTATGCATGTTGTACCTTCCATGTTTCTTCGTTTCTTATTTCGTATTATGCAAGTGTATGTTTAAGAAGAAATGAATAAAATTTGTACAGTCGATTAGGAATATAATTATTAAAAATATTTACAACGTGTTAGAAATTAATATCAGACGATTACATGAAAATCAAAAATTTGTTTAAAAATTTTGACAACATTTTTCTTTAATAATGCACTTTTTAGTTTAGAATAGATTCCGACGAATTTGTTTTTACCTTGGCAGACTGCCACGCGTCGAACACGGAAAGCAGCCTTATTTTTATGTATCACGAGGTTCGACCTAAATTTCAAAGGTCCACGGACGAATCGTCCGCATAATAGAAGCTATAATAAAAGAAAATTGGTCCCCCTTCGGAAACGGCGGCGACAATGCCGATTAGCTGTATAAGCTGCTTTTGTTCCGTGGCTCGACGAAAAATCGACAGTCACAGAACGCGATTGAGATCGTCCCGCTCATTGAAATATCTATGCTTCTGACAATTGCTTTCTTGACCATCCTGAATGTTTTTGTCCAAGGTCGTTGACTTCTACAATGTCTATTTTCTGTATTGATGGCCGAGATCGCATGCAGTTGCAATTGTATAGTCTAGTGGAAATATTAATAGAAATCGTCAATTATAATATTTCTCTTTTATCACGAGTTTCATTTCATTAGTTATATTCGGTAATAATGAAGAATTTTCCGTGATATTAAATTCAAAAGTTTGTGGTACTCTGGTATTCAAATGTTACAAAATTGCCATAAAAGATAAACGTTGCAAAGAATACATCTTATAACCGTTCTGTCCAACCATGAAAGTGATATCAAAGAACTACTAAAATTGTACAACAAAGTATTTGAGTATTGTCGATTTATTCCAGCATATTTATTGTATACAAAATTTTAGAGGAATCGTCTTATTACGGCCCTGTCGAGATGTAAAATGGTTCGTAGAATAACCGTATGGTGGCGATAGTTGGTCGATAGGAGTGTAATGCGGTAAGTCAGACACGTTGATCTAACGTTTCTCTCGTCTCTTTTTTCCTCGCTCCTCGGGCGTCTCTCCTTGTCAGTTTCGTCTCACCTTCGACGCTAATTTGAACGATACGGTTCGCGCTTATTATCGCTAAATTAGCCATTATGTCGTTATTTTAACGAGTCGATGTGTGTCAGGGGGCCGTGCACACGCTTCCAGTCTGTACCACTGTATTTCCTCGTCCAATTCCTCTTCTGCATGGTTTGGCATCGTCGTCGTGGTGAAATCCTCTCGTAACGATTTCCACAATAGCATGTACACGTACGTCATTATCGCGTTATCATTATCAGTAGCTTCCTTAAATACGCGTACACAGAATTTGACAATTGAGATTGCTTTCGAACGTTAGAAACTCGAACAGTCCATAGTTCAGCCATAGGTTATCTCAGCGATGGTTTTAGCCCGATCGACGATTAGACGACGTCAACCTTGTCAACAGTGATTGTTTTGACCAGGTTTACTTTCCGATCCGAGGGGTATCGCGTACGTAACAAAAATCTATTTTCGTCCTGTCGACAACTCGAGAAATAGACGGAAGCCTGATCGACCTCGATATCATCCCGGGTTCAGGGCATCGTGGAAATTGCAAAGAGACGCTACCGTACCCGGATAAAATATAAATTTCCATGTACAACGCGTGCACGTGATTTTCCAGGGTGTTTTCTTCAACGATACAGACGATGAACGCGGAGCTTTCCGCCATACGAGAATGAGATTTCGATGGAACTGTCTCTCGACATTTTCCGCATGGTTTAATTTTAATTCTTTTTGTCGTCGCATGGCTAAACAACGTTTACGTATATTACAACAATATGCAATGCCTGTCTGTCCCGTAACTACTGGCTCGGGTAACTTTTAGCTTCGCGACAGCGTATTTACGTTGAACGACTATCCTCCAAAGAAAATAAGTACAAAGCGACGAAATAATTTCAACTCATAATAACCAACACATTTGGCGATGCGATTATCGCTAGCATGGTATTGATTCGTAACGATACTGCCATGGAAATTTTCGTGTAAACATGCACATATTTTGGCGGGACATTCGCGTGTCGCATCAACCGATAGATGGCGCGATATCGACCTATGATAACGGTTAGAAATGGACGCGTTCGATTACGGTGTGTTTCGTGTAACCTTCCAATGGTTTATCTTTGATTCGTTACTTCTTCGTTAGATTCTTCTAACCTGACTGGTCGAAACGTTACGGTGTCGTGGATAGCCATTTTTTGGCGGGAGTTTCGCGCGGCGTATCGATCGAGAGATGGCGCGATATTGACGAATCGTAGAGGTGGCGATAGCCCCGAAAGAAAGGGGGTGGTGGTGAATCATGCGAAGGTTATTTTACCAGTGGATTTGCACAGCTGCCACGCCTTCCAGAATTCGTGTCACGAGATCCGTTATTTCGCGACAGAGCGACGAAGACAGGGTAGCGGAAGTTTCCGTTGCAAACGGATCCCGCTGGAGCGTGGCTCGTTTTATCGGATGTGTCGAATCCCTGCGTGGTCTGCGCGCCTCTAGGATATCCAAGATCGGAGGTCAGACCCGTGACAGTGAAGAGGCTAGATTCGTCTTGCGAGATCTGGCTCGATCCAGCTGTGTTTTAATGGCGGACTTCCGCGAGACGACGAGAACACCGGAGGGGTCAGCCCACGCGGCCCAGGGACCATAATTCCTGAGAAGGAGTCCGCCCTGTATATTGGCCCTTTTAAACTTCTTTAGCGTCTAATTCGTCGTGGTCGTCGTCGTCCGTGCGTTGCCTCTTGATTATTTAAATGGCAGCCGTGGTCCGTTTTTTTCCGTCGCGTGTCTCGACGCGTTCGCGCGCTCGCGCTCGGTCAGCCGTTCGGGGTTGCAAAATGGCACCTGTATCGGGAAACAGAAAAATCGAAACGTCAATACTTTTCAGTTATTACTCGGCACAAAAGAGGTTGGGAAATGCACCTTCCCGTATTCTTTATTTTCGAGCAAGGCTCCTCGAGATATCGTTTCTAAATAATGATTTATCGAACACTAAGAGGATTATAGTCTACCTCGAGTAGCTATACTTAGCGTCAAGCAGGCAAAGAGGGTAGTTTGCATTCTTGTATGCAAAAACGGCGCCACGATTGCCCGTTCGACGCCTACATAATTTGTAGGAAGCGAGACGCGGCTGGAGGAGCTTGAATGGCCAAGATTCTTATTCCTACTTGCCGACACGCATATTTTCTCACCCGCGGAACACCATAATGCCCGCTGGCGCTCGCCATTGTCCGTGTGCCAACCACGGATATATGTATTCCGCCTCGATACCGCGTCCAGAGATAACGGCTTATCCACCGATGAAATTACGTAACGCAGACGCGCGAGTGTGTGCACACGTACGCTCGCTCATGTTAATGGGTTTAACTTTAATTAAGAGCCCCTCGAAAATTGCCGATGACCTCCGGTGCACCACGATCCTCGTCTCTGTCTTGATTTCGAAAAATTCCAAGGGCATCCGAGGAATCGAACCGTTTTCATTTTAAATACTTTTGCGTTTGCGTGGTC